CGCCATCTTCTAATGGCGGCCACGATCTATAACAATGGCTTACCACACCCTTCCTCCCTTCCTCCCTCTCTCTCTCCCTCCCCAGAGCCTCACACATGCTAGGCTGAGGTACCCCAAACCCAGTTTGTTTTAACAGGAGTAAGCCTGTTGTTAGTCAAGGAGCATCTGTTCTCCTTCATCACCTTCTCTTGGAACGAAGTCCCTCGCCCACATTTAGCCCCGTGCTTCTATTAGGTGACGCCTCCGAGACCTTAGGTAAATGGCCCATGGTGGATGTTTGACTCCAACTGAGGTCATTCACTGGTTGTCTCTTTGAGGAAGGTGAACTTGTGGCAGATACTAAGGACTCTGGGGGCCCCTGAAAGAACCCTTTGCTCCCCCTCATTACCAGCTTCCCTATCGCATCACGGTGGGAATATCACACTATTCTCACTGGTCTCTCTGCCATCTTGTCCCTTGTGCCCTTTCTCCACACAGCTGGCAGTTCAGCTCCACTGCACCCCTGCCTCTAGGCCACTTTTCCTTACACAATAAGTGTTCCCTACCTATCTGTGGGTGGTCTGGAAGAAATACCTTAAGATTTATAAAATCGTTGCAAAATTTGCCCTTTGACCCGGGCTTGAAATGGGGTTTAGTCTACCCCTAAGATGTATTTAGAAGCTCCTACTGTATCCAAATAATAACTCTTTGAGGACCCTACCCCCTCAGAATTGCCATGGCTGTGTTCATAATGTGGCTAAATAATTTTTATTTTAATAAGTAAATGTTACTCTTTGATCATATATGTGGTCATTACAGATGTATCCAAGAAAGAAGAGTGTTATGGGGTCTTCATGGCCGGGTGTGTAACACACTTACTGTAAAAACGAGTGGAATCCCTCCAGTTCACTCAGCCATGCTGGTCTCCAGGATCTCAGCCTCGCTCATCCTTGGTGGTAGAGAGTCAGAGTTGCAGAGGTGGGGTTTCTGCTCTTGATGCACACCAGCCGCTCGCTGGTATCGTGCTTTTGTACAAACTGAGAAGGCTCCTCTTCTGGATGGCTAGGAATAAAGGGAGCTGTTTGGGAGCATACAGTCCCAGGGACTCAGCCTGGTGAGTAGACCATAGGCACTACTTAAGTCCCACTTGCCCCTTTGACCAGATGTTTTGTGGAGTAAACAACCTGCGTGACAGCTCAGGCATCCCTGTTGTTTATTCTGTAGCCATTCCCCATTTCTTGGCAATGACACCCCAGCTCTCTGCAGACTGCCATGTCCTTCTCAAGAGCTTGTTAGCTCCTCACCTGCAGGATCTGAGGCTGAACACACTATTGTGTTACCATTTGATTGGCCTCATAATGGGCCACATATGCATGTGACACAAATCTTGCCCAAAAGATTGAGGAGTAAGTTGCTGGCAGGCTTAGGAACATACTATGGTTTTAACATGATTTTGAGGGTGTCCCCCAAGTTTTCATGTCTTGGGAGGTTGGTCCTCAGTATGATGATGTGGGAGGTGGTGCACCTTTAAGAGGTGGAGCCTAGTGGGAGGTCCTTAGGTCATTAGAAGCACTGACCTCGCAAGGGATTGATGTAGTTCTTAGGGGACCTGGAGTGAGTTCTTGCAAAAAAAAGGTTATTACAGAGAGAACAATATGGCACTCCCCCTGCTCTGGCTTCCTGTCTGGCCATATGATTGCTGCTTCTCACCTGCCCCTCTGTCCCTGTGGTGCCATCTGCCATCAGGTCTTCACTAGACCTTTATTAAGTTATCCAGCCTCAGGTATTTCTTTATGGTAGTGGAAAATGAACTCAGAGAGAGTTCCCTCCCTCTTCAAAAGGGACCCATGGTGAGCTCTTTTATTTGGGGGGGTGCAGTACCAGGGATTGAACTCAGGGCCACTGAACCACACCCCAGCCCTATTTTGCATTTTATTTAGAGACAGGGTCTCTCTGAGTTGCTTAGTGCCTCCTTTATGCTGAGGCTGGCTTTGAGCTCATGATCCTCCTGCCTCAGCCTCGCAAGCTGCTGGTATTACAGGCGTGCCCCACTGTGCCCAGCATGATCTCTTTTTGCTGTCTCTAGATGAGGTTGTTTGTGTGACACCCATATATATGGCAGCTTTTCTGGGGTGGGGGGGGGAGGTGTAGCATGAGGCAACTGGGCTAAGAAGAGACAGTGACAGCCGAGGTCACTGACAGTGCAGTTGAGCTGACAGTTAACCAGCACTGGGCTGTGTCCCTCTGGACAATTTTGCCAGATGTACAGATATGTTCTTTGGACACATTCGTTGGGAAATCCCTTGCAGCCCAAGGCATCTTCACACAAGGGGAAAGGGTCCTGTGCTTGTAACATTGTGTTCCTTTTGCCTTGGAACTGATCTTGGGGAGCCAGAAGAGGAGAAGGGCTAGCCTTAGTGCTTGAGTAACGGGGACAGGTCTGCAGCGATCCCCGTCCACTCTGGCAGGAAGGCTGCCTCTGGCTTGAAGACTTTGAGGAAGGGCGAGTCTGGGAGGGTGTAGTTGGCCAGGTAGATGGTCTCTCCACCGGCCAGGTAGGCGGCCCAGATCCCAAAGGTCCCGATGGTCATGATGGTGTGGTTGCACTGTGTGAGCAGTGCAAAGTCCTTGGCGGGGGAGCCCTCAATGCCGTTGCCGGCGAACACCACGTCGCCACGGGAGGCATCGATGTTCTGCCGGCACCAGGCCATGCCGTTGCTGGTGACCACGAAGACGGGGGACCTGAAGCGCTCTCGGAACCGCTGCATGGCCTGTTCCAGGTAGCCCCTGTCGGCCAGCACGCCCTTCCACACCTGCGGCATGACACGCACGTAGTCCCCCCGGCGCACGTGCACCCCCACGAAGGTGCTGGGCCGGCTCCCGTTCACCCGCAGACCCCTGAGGAACTGCTGGGCCTCCTCGCGCACGTGCTCGTGCAGGCTGAACTCCTGCAGGATCTCCTGGCGCAGGTGGTGGTAGAAGGTCCAGGAGCAGGGGTAGCCCGTGAGGCGGACGTAGCGCCCCGGGATGTGGCGGTACTGCTCCTCCATCCAGTCGTTGAGGTGGTAGTTCTGCCACGGGACGCTGCGGGCCGTGGTGCTGGGCAGGACGGGCAGCGTGATCCTGAAGATGGGGGCCAGCGTGCTGTGCATCTGCGCGGGGACGTAGGCGGGCCGCCCATTGAGCTTGGCGAGGGCGTACAGCGTGGCGTACTGACCCATCTGGTTCCCCAGGCGGCCTACTGCGTTGATGGTCCACATGCCCTGGAGCTGCTGGGCTGTGGGCCTCTCTCTTGCGGATTGCGGCGCTGGTGTCTGCACCTCCCCTGGGGGTTGAAGCCTCGCCAGTCGCTGCTGGAGGTGAAAGATGGCAGAAGCCACGAAGACAAAGAGGACAACGTGTGCCATGGGAAAGGAGAAGGGCCCCGGGGTGCTGGCCATAGCTGTAGGGAAGGGAAAGCGGCACGTTAGCTCCTGATGCGGGCGCGAGAATGTGGCTGCGCAGCCAGGCACTGGGGGGGGGGGGGGGGGGGGGGGGGGGGGCCCCC